AGAGCACGAGAAACAGGAGAGACAGCATCTTTGCTTTCAAAGAATAGACAATCTAGTGGAAAGATGAGCTATAAGCAATGTGGAGAGTGATAAGTTCTCTGGGGGACTGCAGGGTCTGGATCGGTTTTCAGGGAGCTGGGAAAGGACTCTCCTAGACTTCCCAGGGCCATGGCCAAGCTGGCGTGCAGAGGCTTACCAAGAAGGAGACAAGGCGCCTGGCGTTTCCCCACGATTATGATTATTTGGCCACGGGACCACATCCACTAGAAGCTCATTGAGCTAGGGTTTGGGAAACGTCTGGGACGATTCACAGAACCTGTGAGTGGGAGGAACAGCTGGGAGGCGGGTGTGAAAGGAAGACCGCTGTGAAAGGCGCACCCAGGAGTTTGAACTTCAGGCTGGAGTAATCAAATGTCGCCCAAGCATTGTTGCACACTCTTGTCTTTTGAGCTTTTGTTTATATGGGTTAGTTTTTTTCTCCCAAATGCCAGTATCATGAATATGATGACAATTACATGAGATAATGCTTTTAAATATTTCGTGCAATATCTGATACAGAGTAAATACTCAATAAAAAATTAAAAAAAAAAAAAGAATTGCTGGAGAGAATTGGAGAAGTGTACTGAATATTACATGGGCTGCCAGAAGAACAAACAAATATATCCTGGAAAATGTGAAGCTAGAGTGGTCCTTGGAGGTAAAGGTGATAAAGTGTATAGTATTTCATGAGTTCTTTGTTTATCACTACTGCATAATATTCCATTGCGTGAATATACCAGAGCTTCTCTATCCATTCATTTGTTGATGGGCACTTGAGTTGTTTCCAACTCTTTGCTATTGTGAACAGAGCATAAATAAACATGGGTGTGCATATATCTGCTTGGGTGGCAGTTCTGATTTTTTTCGGGTATATTCTTAGTAGTGGAATTGCTGGTCAAATGGTATTTCTAGTTCCAGCTTTTGGAGAAAGCACCAGACTGCCTTCCATAGTGCTTGCAACATTTTACACTCCCACCAACAGTGAATATAAGTTCCAACTTCTCCACATCCTCACCATCATTTGTTGTTTGCTGCTATGTTAACTTCTGCTATTCTTACTGGGGTGAGATGATACCTCATAGTTGTTTTGATTTGCATCTCTCTTAGAGCTAGGGATTTTGAACATTTCTTCATGTGTTTGTTCACCATCTGTATGCCTTCTTTGGTGAAGTGTCTGTTCATATCCTGTGCCCATTTTTTCAGTTGGCTTGTTTACCTTTATCTTGTTGTAGCAATCCAGTAGTCTATAAATTCTAAGTCCCTTATCAGACATATTGTTAGCAAATACTTTTTCCAAGTCTGTAGCTTCCCTTATTACTTTGTTGGAGAAGTTGTTGGATGTGCATAGAGATTGGACTCTTAGAAGGTCTCATTCATGTATTTTATCCTTTCCTGGATGTAGGATTTCAAGATGCTTGGAAGACTATTCATGTTGTGGATTAGGGCTTCCAGGGTCCTTCCAAGCTTTTCTTTAATGAAGTTTATAGTCCTTGGTTTTAGTCCTAGGTCGTTGATCCTCTTGGAGTTGGTTTTTGTGTATGGTGTAAGGCATGGGTCCTGTTTGAGTTTTATGCAGATGGTTTCCAATTTTGCCAATACTATTTGTTAAAAAAGTTTTTGTTTCCCCACTTATCTGATTTTATCTCCTTGTCAAAGATCAGTTGACCATAGATAAATGGGCTGATTTCTGGGTTTTTCATTCTCTTCCATTGTTCTATGTGTCTGTCATTGTACCAGTAACATGCTGTCTTGACAACATAGTAGTGTAGTAGGATTTGAAATCAGAGAGTGTGATACCTCCTACCTTGTGTCTCTTTTTAAGGAGTGCTTTGCTTATTCGGGGCCTCTTTCCACTCCAAATGAAATTGGAGATTGACTTTTCCATCTCATTGAAGAATGGAAATCGTACTTTTACTGCATTGCATTGAACATATAGATTGCTTTTGGTAGGATTGTCATTTCCACAATATTGTGTCTTTTCATCCATGAGCAAGGTATATTCTTCCATTTCTCCAGGTCTCTTTTTGTTTCTTATAGTAATATTTTGTCATTTTCTCTGAATAGATCCTTTATGTTTCTAATTAGATTTAAGTATTTAATATTTTGATTAGTTATTGTGATGGGTATTTTTTTTCTTAGCTTCAGTTCTGTGTTTTGTCACTATACAAAAATCCAACTGACTTTTGTAAGTTGACCTTATATCCTGCCACTTTGCTGAATGAGTCAACTATGTCCAGTAATTTTACCTCCTCTTTGTCAATTTGAATTCCTCTTAAATCTTCTCTTCTCTTATTGCTATCAGTAAGACTTCCAATACAATATTGAATAGGAGGGTTGATAATGAGTGTCCTTGCTTCATTCCTGATCCTAAAGAGAATGTCTTTAAACTCTCTCAATAGAGAGCAATGTTGGCTCTGGGTTTTGCATTTAAACTTCTTACAATGATGAAGAAATTTCTCTCTATTCCTATTTTGCTGGGTGTTTGAATCTGGAAAGGGTATTGTATTTTGTCAAAGGCCTCTTCTGCATCAACTGATAGAATAATGTGGTTCTTGTTCTTTGTTTTGTTAATGTGATGAATTACTTTGATTGTTTTCTTTTAGTTTGAATCATCCTTACACAACTTTTATGAATCCTACTTAGTAAGTCAGATAAGTGGGTGGGATGGCTGACACCTTCATGGTGGCTCCTCTTGGTGGCAGTCGTTTCGCATTGTGTGTTACTATTCTTTTTGACCTTCAAAAGTGGATGGTCAGTTCGCCTAGTATACAGAAAGCCGTGCTCCCAAGGCAAAAGTAGGTGATTCCACTCCACATCCCTCCGACCTGCCTGTAACTGTTTTTGGTCATGTAACCCAGGTATGTCCACTTGCTGTGCAGAGATAACTCATGTTTGCTGTGAAGCCGAACACTATGACACTGATGAGTCAAATGCAAGAGTGGTTACTAATGGTGGACAGTGTTTGGTGAAACTCCACTTCCACAATATCTTGCCTCAGGAAACCCTATGAACCTGGATAAAGGACTAAAGATATACAGGAGGTGTCCAGGACTTTGGTTCATTGGGTCACCTACGATTTGACAGCACTTAGCAACACCACCAACAACAATAGTATAGACAAAGAACAGTCGGCCTAGTGGACAGAAAGCCATGCTCCCAAACCAAAGGTGTGTGACTCTATTCCGCTGACCTCAGGCCTGCCTTTAATTGTTTTTGGTGAAACGTTCTTCTAGGTCATGTAACCCTGGTATATCCACTTGCTGAACAGAGATAACTCATAGTTGCTGTGAAGCTGAGCACTGTGACAATGATGAGTCAAATGTGAGAATGGTTATATATGGTGGACAGTGTTTGGTGAAGCTACCTGATTAAAACAAGAAGCTTGGAAGCAGGAGTGGCATCCACTTCCACAATAGCTTGCCTTGGGAAACCCTATGAACCTGGTGAAAGGACAAAAGCTATACAAGAGGTGTCCAGGACTTTCATTCATAGGGTAGCTATGAGTCTCCTGCTACTTGAGGGCACTTAACAATAACAACAACAACAACTTGGTCATGGGGAATTTTATTTTATCTTAGCTTTAATGTACTATTGGATTCTATTGGCCAGGATTTTATTCAGGATTTTTTAAATCTATGTTCATAAGAGATATCAGCCTATAGTTTTCTATTTTGGTGATATCTTTGGTATCAAGAATATATTTACTTCACAGAATGATTCTGGGAAATTTTCATGTTTTTCTATTTGCTGAAATACTTTATGTAGAATTGGTGACAGTTCTTCTCTGAATGTTTGATAACATTCACTGGTAAGACAATTTGTTCCAAGGCTTTTTTTTTTCTCTACTTGGAACTTGTTTCATGACCTGCTTAATTTCTTATTTCTTAATGGGTTTATTCAGGTATTCTACTTTAGTGTGTGTCAGTTTAAGTAGGTTGTGAGTTTCTAAGTATTTGTCCATTTTCTCTAGGTTTTCATATTTGTTTGAGTATAGTTTTTCCATAATATCCCATTGTTAACCTTTATATTTTAATTGGTTCTCTTGTGACATAGCCCCTTTCCTCTCTTATTTGAATTATTTGCATCTTTTCTTTTTTCCCTATATTAGTTTTGCTAATGGTTTGCCAATTTTTATGACCTTTCTGAAGAACCAACTCCTAGTCTTTTTGATGGTTTTAATTGGTTTTTTGTTTTCTATTTCATTTGTTTCTACCCTACTTTTTATAAGTTCAGTGTATTTAGAGGTTGTCCCGTTTTCTTGCTGTCCTTTTACAACATGTTGGAAATGTTGGGTTAATGAATCAATTATCACTTTTTCTTCCTTTTTGATGTGCTTGCTTATTGCTATAAATTGACCTCCTATTACTGCTTTATCAGAGGTTTTGGTAATTTGCAATCTCATTTATTTAAAGAAACTATTTTTTATTTTATACTGGTTTACTTACAAAGTTTCTATACATCATTTTTCACACCAGATCTTTTTCATTTCCTTAACCTACGCCTCCACCCATCAAATTGTGTGACACTCTAATTATCCTACCTCCACATCCACCAGTCCTAACCCTACTGCTCCCCCTCCTCCATCTTCCCTTAGATTCTCAGAAACCATTACTAGTCATCTATTTCTTACACAGCATTTGTCCTTATGGGAATGAGTTAGTTCACTTAGTATATTGCTCTCCAGTCCTTCCCAAGGTAGGTAGTGAGTTACAAAATTATTTCTCATGCATGCTGCATAATATTGCATTGTGTAAATATACCATAATTTCTCAATCTATCAGATTGTGATTGGGCATTTGGGCTATTTCTATGTATTAAGAACGCTTTTCTTTCGACTCAGGAGGGGTGGGGTGGGCATGGAGGCGGGCCGGACTCCCGGGAGGCGGGGTCGGCGCTTGTGGGACTTCTCAATCTGGAACCTTTAAACTTGCAGTTCCCTACGCAGGGAGTTCGGCAGCAGCATGGCTTGGTCTCTCCGTATGTTTCGCTCCCTGTACAGTCTGCTGTCAAAGGAAGTAAAGCAGTGCGTGGGCACGGACCAGTTTGGGAACAAATACTACTGTATCCCGGAGTACAAGAACTGGAGAGGACAAACTATTCGAGAGAAAAGACTTGTAGAAGCAGCACGGAAAAAAGAAGTAGACTATGAAGTGGGGGATTTCCCAACCGAGTGGGACGCTTGGATTAGAAGAACAAGAAAGATTCCACCTACTATGGAGGAAATCTTAAAGAATGAAAAATATCGAGAAGAAATCAAAATTAAAAGCAAAGCTTTTAATGAAAAAGAAAAACTCCCAAGTAAAGAAGAGTTGGCGCTACTTGCTCAAATTCAAATTAAAGGGCATGCCTCTGCCCCCTACTTCGGCAAAGAGGAACCCTCAATGGAGCCCACCAGCACCGGTCAAACCTTCCGGCCAGGATCCTGGATGCCACAGGATGGCAAGAGCCTAAATAAATGAATGTGGTATGGTAAAATAGTGGCATTTACATGGAGGCATTTTAACCAATAAAATAATTAGATTAAAAAAGAAAAGAATGCTTTTATTTCATTTTTTTATCTTTTTTGTTAACCGTTCAAGCAGGGTGTCGATCAGCTCCCAAATGAATGTGGTTTTTTTTCTCCTTTGTTCTCCTGTTAATGATTTCCAAATTTGTAGCATTGTGGTCTGAGAAGATGCTTTGTATTATTTCTATGTTTTTGCATTTGTTGATATTCGCTTTATGATACAAAAAAATGTGATCTATTTTGGAGAATATTCCATGCACATTGGAAAAGAAGGCATACTATGTTTTTGGGGGGTTGCATTAGCCTGTATATATCAATGAGATTGAGTTGGTTTATTGTGTGATTTAATCTTCAGCATTTTTGTTGAGTTTCTTTCTGCTAGCTGTATCTTTTCTCGAGAGGGGTGCATTGAAGTCTCCTAGTACTATTGTGGTGCTGTCTATTTCTTTTTTCAGTTATGCTAAGTATTGCTTTGTATCTTTTGCAGCTTTATCATCTCATGCATAAATATTTATTATGGTATGCCCTCTTCTTCATTGACCCTTTAAGTATTATATAGTGACCTTCCTTGCCCTTTGTGATAGTTTTAATGTGGAAATCTCTTTTTCAGAGATTAATGTTGCTATTTCTGCTTTTTTCTGGTTGCTATTTGCTAAGTATATTTTTTCCCACCCTTTTTGGTTTTGGTCTTTATTTCCACTTTTCAGATGTGTCTCTTGTAGACAGCATATTGAAGAGTTTTGCTTTTTTTATACAATCTTCTACTCTTTTTCTCTTCCCTGGAGCATTTAAACCATTCATATTAATTGTAATTACTGTGAAGCAAGGTTTATTGCTATAATTCTGTTGGGGTTTTTTGTTGCTGTTGCTGGTGAATTTGGTCCACCTTGCTTTCTGTGGCATCTCTTTAGGAAGGTCTTCCCTCAGTATTTCTTGCAACACAGGTCTTGTTTTTACAAACTCCCTAAAGTTCTTCTTTTCTGAGAATATCTTGATTTCTTTGTCATATTTGATGGACAGTTTTGCTGGGTAGAATATTCTTAACAGTTGTATTCTTTGAGTTTTTTATATATGTCATTTCACTGTCTTTCACAAATGTCTTCTTACTCAGATGGTTTCTACTGAGAAATCTACACTTAATCTTGTTTGCTCTCTTTTATAGTTTCCTCTTCTTTTTACACCTTAGCTCTTTCAGAATTCTCTCCTTATCTTTGATTCTGGCAAATTTGACTATGATATGCCTTGGTGTTTTTCTTGTAGTGTCTATTCTGTATAGAGTTTGCTCAGTTTTTAAAATGTATATTCTCTCATTCTTCATTATGCCTGCAAGGTTTTCTTCTAGTAATTCTTCCACAACTTTCTTGGTGTTTTTACTTATTTTTTTTTTCTGTTTTGGGATTCTAGTTATGAGCATGTAATTCTTCTTTCTGCATTATTCTTAGACTTTCTTCTTTTTTCCTTCCTTTTTAATTGTACTTTATGTTTTAGCAGATCAGTGTTGAGAATTTTATCTCCTTTTCACCTGTTCTGTGTTCCATCTCTTTAACTCTGCTCATATGCCTCTCTGGCATGTTAACAGTATCTGAACCTTGGTTATCATATTCTGTATTGAAGTTTCATGTTATTTCAGAACCACTAACACGTTGTTTGTTTTATCTGCTTTGTCTTGGATTGTGTTTGTTTGTTTGTTTTAGAGTTCTTCATGGCTTTTGGTTGCAGAATCCTGTAATTCTTTGATTTTGCCCCTCACCCACTGAAAATATTAAACATTATTCTTTAGAATTCTGTGTCAGATAGTTTCAACAGTATTTCTGGATTCAGAAAAACTCACTGATTGTGTACTTTTATCACTTTTTTTTGACATCTTGTTTTGATTTTGTGTAGGGTATGAGGGTGTGACCTTTCTCCAGGTCATTGCTGTTGGTAGAATTTTTTGTGTCTGGGGCCTTGTTCTGGTAATGTTGGCTTAGGAGCTTACTGATCCAGAGGAGGGAAGGGCAGCTCACTCTACCTGAATTTCTCTCTGATCCTTTGATTCAAGGGAAGACTTGCTTCACTTGGGGGCAGAGATGTTCTGTGGATTAACAGTGTTCTTGTCCAGGCAACTGGCCCAGGTAGGTGGGGTGCAAAGTGTCAACAAATACAGGCTACAGGAGGGTCCAAAGGTACCAAGGAGATGCTCAGGAAGTGAATGGTTTCACCAGTGATATTAGTGCTCCTGGCGCAGCCCAGCAAGGTGACAACAGGGTATTCTAGAAAGAGTGGGGTAGTCTCCATGGGTGGGAGCCACATCCAGACTGGCTGCTCCCTAAACTTCTAATCTAACCTTTCAGTATATGGTTGTCAATTTGATTCATCATAGATATTTGTTTAGAAGATAGTCGACTGTTGCTGTTATTATTAGGTGCTATTGAGTCACCAAAGACTCACAATTAAAATAGGTCTGAACCTTCTATCTTGTGCCATCCTCACACCTTTGATATGCTCAAATCTATTTGTTAAAGTCAATTCATAGTGTTAGGTGTCTTAGTCAGGTGCTAGCTGAGCACAGTGCAGAGTCTGATGAGTGAGGGAAGGGGATAGAGGTGTGGGTAGTGAGTGAGGTATAGTGTGAGGTGTAGTTTCATCCTGTTTACATATAAATCAGACGTGACTCAGTCAAACCTATCAACAACAATTAAGCTAAACTATTGGTTGGCACAAGCATCACTGGTGGCATAGTGCAAACTGAAATATTATTGATTCAAATCTACCAGCCATATGAACAAAGATGGGCAGACTCCTCCCATTAATACTTACAGCCTCAGTAACAGTGACAGTGTGTCACTATGAATTAAAATCCACCCAAAGGCACACTATTTGAGTTTTCTTCTGTAAAATGCTAAATATATTTTAAAATTTTGGCATTTTGGAGCAAAACAATGTTTTCCCCCCCATACATTCAAGTGAGGATCTTATACTCTGGTGGCCTTCCATTTTTTTCCTTGGGTTACCTTAAAAAACTAGTAAACATCTAAAGCATCATATATCTAACTTGACATTTAAAATATGAACAAGATCTCAAAAATGTGTGTTATAAATAGTAATATTTTAAATAGAAAACTATAGCATTACTTTTAAAATGAACCAGTGAAATGCAAATGTTGCTATGATTAGGTATTTACTGTCATCCTTTTTAGGAACCCAGGAGCCTTGAAGGTAAAGTGCCTATAAAGTATTAGGCTGCTAACCAAAAGTTCAGGGAGCACTGGCGGCCTACTGGCAAGAAACTATGCTGCAATCCTGAAGGCACGCAGTTTGAATCCACTAGGCGCTCCACAGGAAAAGAATAGGCAATCTCCTCCCATGATATTAATTCCCTCTGAAAACCTGCTGGACGGTCTGCCATGGTTTGATTCTCACTTGACGGTGCAAAACAAAAAGCAGCAACAACAACCTACAGTTCAGAAGTTTGACTCCACTTTTCAGAAGGAAAATAAATCTTCTCCCATAAAGATTTATGAGTCTCAGAAACCAAATAAAGGACCACCATGAATCACAATGCACTCAATAGACATTATGAGTATGGTGGCTCCTCAAGTATTAGGTTACTAACTGAAAGGTCAGCAGTTCTAACTCCTAGCCTTTCTGTAGGGAATTCAGGTGACATAGTGGTAAGAAACTGTGCAGCAATCCCCAAACCAAATAGTCAGCATCTACCAAATGCTCCACAAGAGAAGGATGAGAAATCTTCTCCTGTGTGATTTACTGCCTCTGAAAATCCTTTGGAGGGTCAGCTATAGGTTAATACTAACTCTATGGTACCAAACAGCAGCAACAACAGCTGGCTTTTTACAGGGAGCTCTGGTGCCCTAATGGTAAAAAGCTGTGCTGTAATCATAAAATTTATGGTTCTAATTCACCTGCTACTCCGTGAGAGAAGGATAGGCTACTTCCTCATGTGCAATTCATTGTCTCTGAAAATGTGCTAGAGGGTCAGCTATGGGTCATTTTCAACATGATGGCGAACAACATACACACAACAGTTTCTCTGTATGGAGCTCTGGTAGCTTAGCGGCAAGGAGTTGTTCTATCAATCGAAAGCCTGCAGTTTGAATCTGCCAGGTGCTCCAGGGAGAAAGATGGGCAATCTCTTCCTGTGCTATTTACTGCCTCTGAAAACTCACTGGAAGATCAGCTATAGATGGGTTTCAACTCAGTGGTACACAGCAACAACAAGGCTCTTGGTGGGAGAAAGTTGAGGCACTATCCTCTTATAGAAATTTACAGTCTTGAAAATCCAATGGATGGTTTCTGGGAGCCAAAAACGCCTAGACACATGGGTTAGGGTTTCTTTTCGCTTTGCTTTTATTGTCTATTTAAAGTGTATACAAATTCTTTATCATAAATTTAAAATTTTGCATTTTTTTGTTCCCTTCTAATCTTTATTTCAATTCCACTTACCCAGGTAATTTTATTTCAGTGTTTTATGTTTGTATATATTTTATTAATCATTCTATCATACTTTTCTGCAACTGAAGATGTCTGAATAGAAAAAAGTTCTTGTGCCTATAAAGTTCTAAGAAATTATAATATTTTTACAGATTAAGTTAACCTTACAATGAACGTCAAGTGATTATTTAACAAAACAACATGCATTTGCTCCAATCTTAATTAATAGATGTAAGAAACAAAATTTTGTTTCAAAAACTTTTTAATGAAAGGAATCAGGTATTCACTTTGCTGTCCTGTTCTCAACTCTAATCAATTTGTAAATCCTTAGATGAATACTGCTCATTGTTAAAAGGAGCTGAGTTTCAAACTGTCTTCTTGATTTCTATTTTCCATTCTATTCAATAATACACATATTCTATTTTATAGACGTGACTACTAAGCCACCTTATTCACCTAAAGAAAGAGAGCATAGGAGCCATTCTTTTTTTTAGGAGTCATTCTTTTATAACAATCTTATTA